GTGATGAGGGGGATGAGATTTGGTAGAAGATGGGAGGAGGATGGACAATTGGAAAGTCTATAATCAACACCTCAGAAACGGACCCCCAGAGTGCACCATGAAGGAGAGAAATGGCTGGAGAAAAGGCAAGAGATTAAGAGAGGCAGTATCCCAAACAAGCAGACCATGAGCATGAATCGGTCGATTTCAAGCCCCAATTGTAGGAACTCCTCTGATCAGGATATGTCCTTTGAGGATCCTTGTGGCTGAAGCGTAGACCGTTTACTAAGTTCCTTAATATCGTAAAGGGTCTTTGAAAATCGTCTCGTCGTTTGCAAGACCGAGAACCGTGCTCTGGGAGGTTTCGAGCTTTTCGTCGAAACATCCGCTGGTGTCTTTTCCCTTGATGATCGGGAGACAGAGGAAGCTCGGAAGATATTCAACGACGCTCTTCTCGATTTGGGCTTGGGCGAAGGCACCTTGGAGATTCTATCAAATGGCGTTTGGCTTGATGTTGAAATATGAAGAAGAAGAAAAAAATAACGCGTCGTTCATCACTCCAATGCTTTCAGCCATTATATATTAGGCTTGTCAAAGAGTTCAACTCACCTCATCCTTCTTGTTGGTGAAGATGGAGTCATACCCGTTCTAATGACGAGTAACGGCTCTTCGACCACAGGCTTTTCTGACTCAACCATAGTCTTGTCTGACTCGGCTGAATGAGTCCGTCCTAGGATACGCGGAACCGAAGCTCTGGCAGAAGTCGGTGGAGGTTCGCAAGTTGAGATGGGTCTCTCAGCTTGTTTTTGGCGTTCAAGCCCGGATTGATATAAATAAAATTCTTCATCCTCGGGCACGAGCACCTCTCGATAAGACTGGGCGCAATGCTTTTTCGGCTCAGGCGGTGGAGTTGGCGGATCTGCTAGAAGGTCTTCTGGCTTTCCGCAACAATGGAAAGACTCGTCAGAATCAGAGTCCTCATGTGCACGTTGATATCTAATGGATAAGCGGTGCATGGTGTTGAAGAGGATGTGGAAAAGGGTTGGAGAGGTTGAGAGGTAGTTTTCGGGAGGTCGAGCTCTTGGGATGATGGAGTTGAGAGTATAGTAAAGTGCAAGGATGATTGTGAGTGTAGTGAAGGGGAAGGAAGAATTACAAGTTGCAGGTGTGCTATTTATATTCCATGGAGCACTGAAATCAGACCGTGGCTAGCCTCTAGCAAGGAAGATACTACTCTGGCTGCCTACTCGGAGTCAGTGGTCGCGTCAACAGGGTAGGTCACGTCGGGGTGTATTTTTGCCATGTTCACCATCTATTTTCTCTAAGAGCTAAGGAACCAGGTAGCTCTCTATGACTTGCTTACCGCAACTATATATGCGTTGACTCGGGTCAGGAACTCTTTCTTGGGAGACATCGATGCAACTGATGGCTGTAATTGCCCCCATAAGATATTTAGGGCACAATTAGGCGATCATAACATTACAATTCTCGACCGATTTTAACCGATTTTCTACATTCAATTATCCAGGTCGCCGTGCTGGATGAATCAGAATCGCGCGTAAAATATGTTACTGGATACACAGAAACAGCTTATGTACCAGTGTTATGCAAGATGCATGGTCGATCTTCATTAATGAAAAAAATACGTGCTCGATGTGAATTCCATTGTTTCTACCCGTGGAGAGCTAGAATCGGAAATGCAGAAAAATTAAAGGAAGAAAAAACTGATGAGGTCAAAGGAGTACTCATCAAGGGTACTCAAGTTGCTCTCAGATTCAAGTCTGGTGCATAGGGCGCATTTGCCTTCCAGTGCGCGCCGCAGCATGCAGAAAAGAGCCCAGATTCAGAAATACGCGTTGCTGCGTGACTTGCGATCATCTATCCCTCGAAGAAAAAAATGTTAAGAAAGACATTTCCCAGAAATTCCTCAAAAACATTTTTTGAAAAAAAACCACAATCTTTTATTCCTAGGGCAAAAGCCCATTTCCCTTCGACAGGATAAAAGAAAAAGTAAGATATTTTACCTGAGAAACACTTCAATCTGAGTAAATTCAATTGTTTGAAGCTTGTCATTTGTGTCAGGCTTCAACAATTGCAGGCACAATTGGGGTGTTCTTATTACTGAGTAAAAACCACAGCGGGTGAAAGGTGCGTTTTCATGAAGTAGCTCTTTATGCACTGTCTCAATCGTATGATAGGCTCGATTCAGATGATAAATTATAATTGCTTCTTTTTGATCTTTGTGTAAAAACGGAAAGGATTCAAATAGCTGCGCTACCTTGGTAACAACACTCAGAATGAGGTGAGGTAATTTTTTTTTTGATATCAAGCTACATGCTTTGGATAAGGGTGAGTGAGATGTTGTGATTGCCGCTGGAATACTTCAAGTGGGATATTATACTCTTTGGATTACCATCGCTGAAGCAGCTCCTCCCTGTTTGAGTTTTTTTCGATTCGTCAAAGGTAAATCCAAATCAGTATTTACAATAATCTATGATGCAATGGAGAAAGGGACGAGATAACAACAAGTGGTGACCTACTCCATTGCAAACACCCGCTAAGCCGTATTCACCAGGCTTCAAAGAATGAGCCAAGGTGACGATGATTCGACAACCACTGCTGCCGATGGGATGACCTAAAGCGACCGCCCCGCCGTAGACATTGACTCGGTCGGAATTGATTCCAAGGACCTTCAAATTGGCAAGGGCAACGACGGAAAAAGCTTCATTGATTTCGATCTTGGCCATGTCTTCGATCTTCAAACCTGCTTTCTCTAAGGCGATCGGAATGGCCAGGGTGGGCGCAATAGGGAAATCGATCGGGGCACAAGCCGCATCGGCATAGGCTGGAGTTCAGTAAATCACAGTCAGTCTTTGGTGATCATGGACCTTTGAGAAAACGGATAAAAAGGTTGAAATGCTTACAGATTATTTTCGCTAGCTTTTTGATTCCCATCGAATCAGCTTTGTCACCCGTCATGACTACTACGGCACTTGCCCCATCGTTTAAGGTTGATGCATTGGCGGCTGTGACGGTACCATTCTCCTTCTTGAAGACTGGCCTCAAGGCTCTAACCTTATCCAACTTGATGTTTTTGTACTCTTCATCCTCCGAAACGAGTACGACCTTACCCGATCGTTTATCTTTGATCTCGACCGGTACGATTTCTTCTTTGAATACACCAGCATCCCAGGCTTTCTTGGCTCGACTGTAGGATTCGATCGCATAGTCATCCTGGGCTTCTCTTCCGATCGAGTGTTTCACTGCCGTCTCCTCGGCACAGGATCCCATGTGGATTTGGTTGTAGGCGTCCCACAATCCATCCTTGACGATCGAATCGGATGCCTGGAAATGTCCAAAAGTCGATCCTCGGGGTAGATAGAAACTGTTGAGGGGTTCGAGATCACACGTTCAAAAGAAAGTTACAGGACCGATGTCAGGAGAGACAAGTCAAGTTGGGCATCTGGTAGGAATATCGCTATGAACACGAGTCAAGGCCTACGGTGAGTTACTCATGCTCTCCATTCCACCAGCGACCATGACGGAGCGGTTGCCGGTCTGTAGGTTCTGAGTAGCGAGGATGATGGATTTCATGCCACTGGCACAAACCTTATTGATTGTGGTGGCTTCAGTCGACTCGGGACATCCAGCGCCGATGACGACCTGACGGGCCGGACTCTGACCAAGGTTGGCCTGGAGCACGTTTCCCATGTAAACCTCCTCGACATCGGAAGGTTTCAAGCCTGCTCGGTCGATCGTAGCTTTGACGACTTGAGCTCCCAGTTCGGTTGCTGACAGAGCTTTCAAGGAGCCCGACATGGAGCCGACGGGAGTACGGCCAGCGGCGACGATGAACACCTCGGGGAGCTTGCTGGCCACCGAGCTGTGGAAGCCATGTGAGTTGAGTGGGAGGGAAGGTGAGATGGCCATTTGGAAGATTCGTCGAGCAGCGCTTGGGATGGGAAGGAGGGGCATGGCGAGCAGTTGGGAGTCGAGAAGAAGAAGGCCTGGGACTGCCGGCTGATACACTAGTTTTGAATATATGCAACACAGCAACAGAGTCATGCCCCTCTTAGTCAGACTCAGATCATCATCAGCTGACTTTCTTCAACTTCCCTCCAACCCTCCATCATGCCCAGCTCAGACTCACACTGACTCTCGATGAATTCACAAGCAGAGCATGTGTGCCTGCTACAATAGTACTCTTTTCTCCCCCTCCTTTTCTTCGGCAGAAGTTTCCGTACACATGTCAAATATGTATAGAGCCAGTAGATAAAACCATCCTCTGATGGGCGCTTGGATAGCCCAAGTTGCCAGCTAGGAAATCGGTTGGGGTTCTGTGGATGAACAGGAGAGAAGCTACTCGCAAGACAATCCAGACCAAGACAGCCCTTGGAATGGGAGTGCCATGAATACTTTCAACATCTTCGGTTCAGACAAGCAGTTGTTGATCATTAACACGTTTGAAAATTCCAGCATGGCTTGCTTGGAAACTTTAACCTCCCTGGTAGCCGAATGACCTGTGACTTGGTTCTGATCTCCTGATTTATGTATTCCTGCCGGAACGCGAGAGGATCAAGAGAAAAAAGAAAAATAGGGCAAACTAGACAGAAGGTTTTCAGCTTGTGTTGGGGAACTGAACAATGAGCAAGAAAAATCCTCTGTAACGTGGGGAGTACACTCCTTGAAGAAAATGATAAAGAGCCCTTTGCCCATAATCCACTCCGTCCGATAGAGTTTTCAAACTCTCCGCACGGCTTGGATCATTCCCTCCAAGTTTCCAGTAAGCTAGGCTCTGCTGGATTATTGCGATGGCAGCTATGACGGAAAAAGCATAATTTACCGTGGCTAGAAGAATTTAAGGATATCAGTGATCAACACTTCAAATCTGATACAACAAGACAACTCACCGTCCTCCTTCGGCTTCTCTAGACAAAAAATTGCGGCCAGCCTCAGAGTCAAGGGGTGCACCAGGCGGGATGAACATTGCTATGGTTGGTGTAGGCATGGTCGAACGAAGCATTAGATTTCAAAAGCATGTTGTGATCAAGACAGTGTGAACAAAGAATAATCCCTAATTGTGAGGTCTCCTTTTTATTAACAGATATGCGCCATTGGCTGCCTTCAGAAGCTCAAAGCGAGAACATGGGTAGTATGTATATTTGTTTATCACTGTTACAGCTGATCAATGGGGACAGAGGTACAGAGACGGCACAGCTGGTCGGGACATAATATACTACATACATAGACGATCAGAAGAGACTCTTCAAGGAGCAATTGGATTATAATGATATAGCGCTTGATGTCGAGAGTAAATGACTAATCTGATCGATTGGAAAGGAGTGAGGGGTGGGTGTGCACTGTGCACGATTTTAGTTTCACCAGGACAGAAAAATTCGTGCACTATCCATCCATAATGTCAGAAAAGAAGTGAGTAAATGATTGGCAGCTAGGACAAAACCTCAAGTGAAACTGGCTCAACAGACATCATAAAGAAACGGAATGGTTAGCTTACTTTTGGAAGATAAAGTTAGTTCTTTCCTATCATCAAGAAGAATACGCGCCGCAATAAGGCTTGTTACTTCGCGGCTTGCAGGGTGGGTGACGGATAGATCGAGTTGAGCGGAGAGACGAGTGGAGAATTTATGTTCTGATTCTGGATCGACTGGACTTGATCGGGGAGTGCTTGATCGAAGGGTCGGTAAGGGTCGATGGCTCGATTCATCCGCCAGCCAGCTTGAACATTCATAGTGTTCCACTCGCAACAGATACGCTCCTGGTGGAGTTGAAGCTGGAGTTCGAGGGCTCGAGCTGAGGAGTGCTTAGAGCGTTTCTTCTTGTTCTCCCGACTGGTCCTCTTGGCCTCCCGAGACGGCCACGCCGCCTTCAGACAGCGCATGAGATTGAACACCGGGCTGAAATCTTCGAGGCCTCTACCTGGACTGAACATATAAGTCTTCGAACTAGAGCTTCGATCGGAGTTTTTGGTCGGGCTACTACTAGTACCAGCGGCTGAGGAGCCGCTCTTTCGACTGGTGACAGAGCTAATCGATGCCATGCCGGATCCGCTTCGATTCTGGGAAAAGGCCACCACTTGAGAATTATTGGGGTCGGCTAAAATTGGGAATCGTTAATGGATGTCCAACAGGGGCAATTTGAAATTTTAATTGATCGATACTCTCTAAGCTTCCTTCAAGCTGGAGAAGAACTAAAACCTGACGAGGGAAAACATACCAGTTACAACAAAAGATCTTTAAAAAAAGATGTACAAATTTTCTTATATTGTCGAGTATTGGGGGTTATAGGATCAGGCTCCACTACTAGGTAAGCTACTCGTGACAGCCCAGCCAGGTGATGGCAGATCACCTCATGTTAAATAGCAACTCGACGAAAATCACTTTTCCCCTTGGAAACAGATATAGCAGGGCAGGTAGGAATGAAGGGGACTCGAGTGTTCCAAGAGGCAAGGCGGCCCGGAGGATGCGGTTTGTCTTCGAGGCTTACTTTGAGGGCTATAGATTCTAAGTTCCATCTATTTTAATCATCCATCAGGATACACAAGACTGGTTTATCCGAGTTCTTCAATCCTACCAAGCCTTTCTCATAACATGATGATAGAGACAGCTGCCAACTCTCAGCCATGTGTTTACACTACCGCAATAACCCTAGGTTTCCAGTTCACCTCTCCGTTCAGATATCGAGTGCGGCTAGGGTGCACCGACAATGATATACATACTGAAACTGATTTCCCAACCGATCACGGCCAATGGTGCCTCCCCCCCATGTATATCGAGTTATACATTCCAGCTGAATAAACAGTCGAAACGAACTCGGCCGATGTAAAAGTTAAGCAAATAAGATTATGTTAGCATGAGTTCCAGATTTCTGCCCAGGGCAATTTGCAGAAATCAGGAATTTCAAGTTACAAATTAAATTATTTAATTTTATTCCACGTTTATATGTGTGGTGGTCTGTTTGATGACTTCAGACCAGCCAGCTGGTGACCATGAAGAGTTGAAACTCGCGGTTCAAAGCCTAGAGGTACATAAACCGGTCATCTGGAAGTGCATACAATGGCGTGAGCATCTTCTTCGAACATTTCAAGACCTCCACTACACAGAGTAGCTTTCATCATCTTTTCATCACCTGAGACGAACTGTGTGACGTAGAAAATAAAATCTTGAAGCATTGTTCCAGTTAATTGCCTTCCCGAGGGAATTCCTGCTTGGCTGATGAGTGAGCAACATCAACCGGGAGTCTATAAGTCATAAATATATCATAGAGCTGGAATCTTGAGGGAAGCCCATATCAAGAGGTGTGAAAGAACGTGTACGTAATGTCTCCTTTTTTTCTAGGAAAATATTCATCCAACCATTCTCATCGATGCTGGTGCTGAATATTTTTCCTTTTTTTGCTTGAGTTGATAGTCGTGCTGATATTTTCGAGAAGTCTCCCTAGCCGTTGTGCTGAAATTTTGCTCGAACAAACATTTTGATTTTCATACTGGCTAAGGCAAAATTCATCCCGGAAGTATGTCTAGTCTACCTCACAAGTTTCCTACTGCATTCTCTCTCTCTCTCTCTTCTCCCTCGCTATTGAGCACCAGTGCTATTTGCCTCTTCTCAGCTCCCCCTCGATCATCCTATATTAAGGGGGTTCACGTACTGCTGATTTCGAACTCAGCAGTCAAACTTTGCTGGAATAGCTGTTTTAAGGTTTATGGGAAACCAAAATAGTTTAGTGGGAGGTCCCCCTTTGGATTCAAAATCCCATATTTAAAGTTCATCAGGTTGGTGCATCAGCAAGCAAACCTTAAGCTGCATCAGCAGAGGTTTGGCTGGAATGTGAACTGCCTTATTGTCTATTCGATTGATGAGTCCCCTTTTCACATGCCAATAAATATGTACCAGGTCGAATACTAGTCAGCGCTTGAAGAGCCTCACTTAACTTTAAGATTTCAAGATGGCACATTGGGATCGGTTCGGAGTGTGATGGTTGGGAATGTGATGGCACAATCAAAGTTCAAGTCATTGCATTTCTTTCTTCGGGTTTCCCTTTGAATCCGTTTCTCAAAACTTGACCATGACGCGTATTCTACATCCTTCTCTTGTGCTCCCAGGACTTTTGTCTTGATGAAAGACCTAACATCGACTATCATTCCTAGTGGGCATCTTGCAAGTTGAAGTGTTCGTATGTTATCACGAGACGTTCTGCCCAAAGAAAAAGCACGAGGAGCGGACTTTGACAGAGTCCATGAACTGATACATTTTCAGGTATTTCCTTCTAAAGGAGATAGCAACTGTCATAGAACGCGGGGTATTTCAAATATTGAGCTAATCATAGTACTACAGCCTACAGGGTTAAAGTTACAACTTCGCAGTAAGGGCCTACCAAAGAAGAAAAAAAGCTAGCAAGAAAGGGGTTGGATTCGGAACATAAGAAGATAAGGCCCTAAACGAAGGGGACGGAGAACAGCTAGTAAAGGTAAGAGAGCAGGCCCAGGAAAGATGAAGGAAAGGGCCTGGTTAACCAGAGAGACGTTCCGAGGTACATGGCTCAAAGAAATGGCTCAAAGAAATCCGATTGAAGGTGTTCTTCAAGTTATGGTTATAACGAGGATCTTCTGGTTTGATTTTTTCGTATCATACACCGGTACATTTGGCGATGTGCACATGGAGCGTTTCGGAAGACCTGTTTTTTTTTGATGCCACATTGTCATCGGATTCCTGGTCAATTCTTCGGCACCTGGCGCAGTCTTTTTAGTGGAAAATTTGGTTAAAAACATCGACTTACCAATAATACCTCCATTGACTAACAATGTTACCACAGCAAAAAACGGTAACCACGAAATCAGTCTTTCCAATCTTCATCTGGAACTTATTGTTTGATGAAACTTTGTGAAGTTGAACTCACCAAAAAGGACAATACTGAAGATTTTAAAGAATTAAGACGACCGATAATAACATCAACAATATCGAGCATCCAACCGTCAAGTTGATGATAAGATAAATAGAAACGATCAGTAATCCATTCAAAACCGACATGAGATCCATACAATCTGTGGATTCCACAGCTTGGCCAAGGTATAAGAGTTTAACAAGAAAACAAAAATCAGCGCCTCGCTCACCCAGCGCGGTTGACCAGGCTTCGCGGGACTGGACATTGTGGGTGCGAGCTATAGGTTGGTTGCTTTCAAAGACCATCAAATTCCGTAGAGAGGAACAGAAGTTGAAATGAGTTTCATGCGCGTGTCTTGTAGGATGGTGAGCAGGAAAGTGAATCTCACGTTTGGCAATGGTTAGACTTCTGCCCTGCGCAAGATTACCCAAACGAGTATCTCTTTAGTGACTAAAGGTGAGGATGCTGGCCGCTTGAGTGGCTCAAGATAGGTTGAAGACGGTGCAAGTAGTAGGATATATCACGAGAAAATGCTTGAGTAGTAGTGAATTCTCAATTGCTTTCCGGGGTTCGATGGTAAAAACTTGGGAGCGATGTTGAGCCGGTATTTATAGAGGGGAAGGCTCTAGTGGGGATGAAGTCATGGACCTCTTGATCCCGTGATACTTGGGTATGTTGTTCTACGGATAAAATGGGGCCCACTCACGGAGACATTCCCGGCCCAGATTGTACAACTTCGGGCTTGACAGTGCAACAAGGTTTTAGGTGCATTAAAAAATGACTGAACTGGCTCGGATCCACCAATTTTCCCACTTTGATAGCGCTGGGTTATGAACAAGGTAGTGTTAACGTACACACAATTATTTAGTGGAGAAGGGTTCTTGATGTGAGATGGTAGATCAGGGTTGTTGACGCAGACCAACAAACAAGGCGGTGGGAGTTGCATCAGCCTTATCGTCGAATGACGCAAGTTCCTCAACTGCTTGCTCACCGCTCTGCTTCAAGTTAGTGTTATGGAGGAACGGTTTTTGCGGAGAAAGACATGGCAAAGTTGTCAACTAGCGAAATGTGGGTACCGGACCACGTACATAAATAAACATGGATACATAATATTGCAGGTCAGCTGAGAATTCTGCATCTTGCTATGTATCTTGATAAGGGGCAAATCATAAAGAGATAAATAAATAGAATTGCAACATCAAGAAGCTTCATGGAAACCCTCTTCGACCTGAATTTGTTCACGTTTCTATCTTATGATGATTGTAAGATCTTCTGACCAGGCGAGCAAGCAGTCAAGATACATAAATATTTCCGATTGCCCGGGTACCAGCATGAGTTTGAGCCTGTCATCTTGATATGTCACATTTCGTTTGCATCAACTGACTCTCAAGATCACGACCTTCCTTCCACTGGTCTAAAGGATTTTCCTCAAGTCGATAGCCAAATCATCTCCTCTTGGGGCTCTACTTTTACCCATATTTCACTAGCCGTTCAGTCAGGTTTAGAACCGCCAGCGAAACTTTGCATACACAGAGATGCAAAATCAGCTGCGGCTCATCAAAAACAGCCTCTTCCGGTCCACGGCTGGAAAGACATTGAGGTTCTTGCCATTGGCATCAAAGTATCAATGCTTGGTGAAGGTTTCAATTGCATATGTTACTCTGCAGTCTGCACCGGAGCAAATATCGTGTATGTATGATTTGCAAGACATTGTGATGCTGCACTGAGGAATTGACCAACTTAGCCTCGTGACGCTTATAGTCCTAGCGCCGTCCCGAAAACTCTACGCAGGCCGTCCTGGTCCCTGAAAACATGGCCAACGACAGTGCAAGTCTCTTCCACTGTGCCTATAACTGTCTTGTGGCTGTCGAGAGGACAGAGGGACACAGCAATCACGACATAATTGCATTTCTAGGCTCAGTTTATTGAAAGCTTTGACTGGCTTGAAATAAGAAGTGATGACATAATTCTCTTGTGGAAGTATTGGGCAAAACTGATAAGAGATCATAATGAGAACAGAGCAAAGGAAACTTGGTTTTCATTTTGGAACAATTGTATTCATAGAGTCTGCCTTGAATTATGAAGATTTTTTTTTATTCAGAAAAGTGGCATGGTATACTGCACTAGGGAGAATGGTGAACCAATTTAGCTAAGAAATACAAGTATTTGTGGTTAAATAGATATGTATATAGAGAAACAAAAATTTAATTGTACAAGGTAGGTCAATGTTCAGTGCAAGAAAATCTGGATTAGAATCTGGATTAACTGCTAAAATTTGGTAGGGTTGACTGTCAGCACAATTTTTTGGGGGGTTTCACACTGTCAAGCACTGAGCAACCAGCCAAAATATGGCACCTTGACACACTGGGATTGATATAAGAAAAAAAAAATTTGGGCTCATCTAGGCTCATGTATAATGAATACCAGACAGATTTTGAGACAAAAAAGGGAAGCAAAGCTCCTTTGGGTCCCAGTTATATTTTGCAGAGTTGTCTTTTATTACACAATTAAGGTCAATAATTTCA